CACATAAGGATTCAACGAGTGGGAGGCCCCTCCAAACAAGATATCATTATGGAGGCCCCTTGCACATATGGAATCATTATGTGGAGGTCCCTCATCAAATAGAATCAACATGTGGAGGCCCCTACACTGTGGAGGTCCCTCCACACATGGAATCAATATGTGGAGGCCCCTACACATAAGGAGTCGATGTTTGAAGGCCCTTGGAACGACGAACATATGCAGAGAAGTCGGATCAGCGATAAACGAGTAGAAGGAACGACAATGATAATGAAGAGTAGGAGGGACAATAAAGAGTAGAAGGAACGAGGGTGGTAAGGAAGCTTGCGAAGGGGAAGAAGATGACGAGGCCCTGCAACGGAGAAGGGTGGGAAGAAGGAGGAGGGACGAGGGGTGAGGCGGGAGGGAGAATCGGGAGGATAACGAACATAATCAAAAGGAGAAGGAACGAATCATGGAAGGAAATGCAGCGGGAAGGAACGACACCGATGCGGACGGAGAGTGGGCAGCATACGAGGGGGAGGGCTGACAAAGACAGAAGTGGGAAGTATCGAAGGCAAGGCAAATGGTATGATACCAGGGGGGGGCGAGCACACGTTTGTATATATATATATATATATATATACAGATTCAGGGGCCTGGCTCGGGGGGGGTCCCCGTTCGAGCCAGCGCCGAAGACGCTATTTGAAGACTATATTCGCCCAAGGAGCTGCGGTGACGCCTCTATGCCGCTGACGCCTGGTGAAGATCGTGACGCCTCTATTCGGCCTGAAGCCTCTATTCCGCTGACGCCCATTGAAGCTCGTGAAGCCTATATTCGGCCTGAAGCCTCTATTCGGTCTGAAGCCTGTATTCTGCCCGTGACGCCTCTTTTCGGCCTACGAATTGCAACGCACTGGTGGGGTGGCGACCCCAGACGACTCTACTCGGCCTGAAGCCTCTATTCCCCTGCCGCCTGGTGAAGCTTGTGCCGCCTCCATTCGCCTTGAAGCCTCTATTCCCCTGACGCCCATTGAAGCTCGTGAAACCTTTATTCGGCCTGAAGCCTCTATTCCCCTGCCGCCCATTGAAGCTCGTGAAGCCTCTATTCGGCCTGAAGCCTCTATTCCCCCTGACGCCCACTGAAGCTCGTGAAGCCTCTATTCGGCCTGAAGCCTCTATTCCCCTGAAGCCCGCTGAAGCGCGTGAAGCCTCTATTCGGCCTGAAGCCTCTATTCCCCTGGCGCCTGGTGAAGCTCGTGACGCCTCTATTCGGCCTGAAACCTCTATTCCCCTGACGCCCGGTGAAGCTCGTCAAGCCTCTATTCAGCCTGAAGCCTCTATTCCCCTGACGTCCGGAGAAGCTCGGAAGCTGTTCTGAAGCCTCCTGGGGGACCGTTTTGGGGCCTCGTAGGAATCTTTTTTAATCAACTTGGGAAGGGGTCTTGTCTAGCAGAAGGTGCCGCACAGCAGGTGGGGCACGCCTAGCACCAAGGATTATGTTTTAATTAACTTGGGGAGGGTCTTGCCTAGCAGAGGGTGCCGCACAGCAAAGGGGCATGTCTAGCACCAAGGACTCTTCGTTTAATCAAGTTGGCGAGGAGTCTTGCCTAGTATAGGGTGCCGCACAGCAAAAGGGCTTGTCTAGCACCAAGGATTCTGTTCAAATTAACTTGGCGAGGGGTCTTGCCTAGCAGAAGGTGCCGCACAGCAAAGGGGCTCTCTCACCTTGGAGAGGGTGCCGCACAGCAAAGGGGCGCATCTAGCATCAACGATTCTTTTTTATCAACTTGGGGAGGGGTCTTGCCTAGCAGAAGGTGCCGCACAGCAGGTGGGGCACGCCTAGCACCAAGGATTCTTGATTCATCAACTTGGGAAGGACTCTTGCCTATCAGAGGGTGCCGCACAGCAAAGGGGCACAACTAGCACCAAGGGTTCTTCTATAATCAACTTGGGGAGGGGTCTTGCCTAGCAGAAGGTGCCGCATAACAGATGGGGCACGCCTAGCACCACGAATTCTTTGTTTGATCAACTTGGGGAGGGGTCTTGCCTAGCAGAAGGTGCCGCACAGCAGATGGGGCACGGCTAGCACCAAGGATTCTTTTTTAATCAACTTGGGGAGGGGTCTTGCCTAGCAGAAGGTGCCGCACAGCAGGTGGGGCACGCCTAGCACCAAGGATTATTTGTTTAATCAACTTGGGGAGGGGTATTGCCTAGCAGAGGGTGCCACAGAGCAAATGGGGCACGTCTGGCACCAAGGATGCTTTTTTGTTTATCAACTTGGGGAGGGGTATTGCCTCGCAGAAGGTGCCGCGCAAAAGATGGGGCACGCCTAGCACCAAGGATTCTTGTTTTAATCAACTTATGGAGGGCCATTGCCTAGCAGAGGGTGCCGCACAGCAGATGGGGCACGCCTAGCACCAAGGTCTCTTTTTAATCAACTTGGGGGAGGGTCTTGCCTAGCAGAAGGTGCCGCACAGCAGATTGGGCACATCTAGCACGAATAATTCATGTTTAATCAACTTGCGGGTGGGTCTTGCCTAGCAGAAGGTGCCGCACAGCAGATGGGGCACGGCTGGCACCAAGGATTCATGTTTAATCAACTTGGGGGTGGGTCTTGCCTAGCAGAAGGTGCCGCACAGCAGATGGGGCACGTTTAGCACCAAGGATGCTTTTTTCATCAACCCGGGAAGGGGTCTTGCCCAGCTGAGGGTGCCGCACAGCAGATGGGGAACGTCTAACATCAAGGACTGTTTTATCAACTTGGGGAGGGGTCCTGCCTAGCAGAGGGTGCCGCACAGCACATGGGGCACGCCTAGCACCAAGGATGCTTTTTTAATCAACTTAGGGAGGGGTCTTGCCTAGCAGAGGGTGCCGCACAGCAGATGGGGCACGCCTAGCACCAAATATTCTTTGTTTTATCAACTTGGGGAGGGGTCCTCCGGGAGGGGTCTTGCCCAGCAAAGGGTGTTGCACAGCAGGTGGGGCATGTCTAGCACCAAGGATTCTGTTTTAAACAACTTGGGGAGGGGTCTTGCCTAGTAGAGGGTGTCGCGCAGCAGATGGGGCACGTGTTGTGTTGGACACGGAAGGCGTAAGGAATAACATTGCACTTTCAAATTACAATTGGGAGGGCAGCGCGGTGAGTACTGAGCTTGGTGAAGAGAAGAAGCATCTTCACAAAGAGTAGCGTCTCCACCTGGAATAGCGTCTTCACCCAGAATAGCGTCTTCAACTGGAATAGCGCCTCCACCGGGAATAACGTCTTCACCCAGAATAGCCTCTACACAGAGAGTAGCGTTTTCACCGGGAAGAGCGTCTTCACCTGGAAGAGCGTCTTCACCCGGAATAGCGTCTTCACCGGGAATAGCGTCTTCATCGGGGCTAGCGTCTTCACCAAGAATAGCGTCTTCACCGGGAAAAGCGTCTCCACCGGGAATAGCGTCTTCACCGGGAGCGTCTTCACAAAAAATAGCGTCTTCACCCGGAATAGCGTCTTCACCCGGAATAGCGTCTTCACCAGCGCCTTCACTGGTAATAGCCTCTTCACAAGGAGTAGCGTCTACACCGGAAATAGCGTTCTCACCCGGAAAAGCGTCTTCACTAGGAATAGTGTCTTCACCAGAAATAGCGTCTTCACCCGGAATAGCGTCTTCAACCGGAATAGCGTCTTTACCCTGCATAGTGTCCTCACAAAGAATAGCGTCTTCACCCAGAATAGCGTCTTCACTGGGAATAGCCTCGTCACAAAGAATAACGTCTTCACCAGAAATAGCGTCTTCACCCGGAATGACGTCTTCACCCGGAATAGCGTCTTTACCCGGCATAGCGTCTTCACCCAGAATAGCGTCTTCACTGGGAATAGCGTCTTCACCGGGAGTAGCGTTTTCACCAGGAGGAGCGTCTTCACAGGCTATAGCGTCTTCACCGGGAATAGCGTCTTCACCGGGAATAGCGTCGTCACCGGGAATAGCGTCTTCACCGGGAACAGCGTCTTCACAAGGAATAGCGTCTTCACCGGGAATAGCGTCTTCACCGGGAGTAGCGTCTTCATAGGGGAAGTGCTGTCTGTGTCCGCAGAACGCGTCTTCACAGGGAGTAGCGTCTTCACCCGGAATAGCGTCTTCACCGGGAATAGCGTCTTCTCCCGGAATAGCGTCTTCACCGGGAATAGCGTCTTCACAGGGAAATTGAATAGCGTCTTCACCGAGAATAGCGTCTTCACCAGGAATAGCGTCTTCACAGGGACGCGTCTTCACAGGGAATAGCGTCTTCAAATAGCATCTTCGGCGCCAACTCGAACGGGGAACCACGGTTGCCGGGGCAATCTACATATTTATGGAGGGAGAAGAGAGAAGGATAGAGGGAGAGAGAGAGAGAGAGAGCGAGAGAGAGAGAGAGAGAGAGCGAGTGAAAGAGAGAGAAGAGGGAGCGAGAAGGACAACGAGAGAGATAGAGAGAGAAACATGGACCCAGAGGGAGTGATAGAGAAAGGGACAGAGAGAGAGAGAAATACCAACATTTATATGTAATTACATGATACACAGAGGAAGCAGGATAACAACAAACAACACAAAGGAAGACGCACGGCTCCGCACGGCTCTGGTGCCCGCCCCTCGCACGATGAGAGCCCACTGCCTTCGCCGAGGAGCCGCCCTCCCACCACCCTCCTCCTTCCTCCCCTGTGGCACCTCGCCTCCTCCTCCTCCTCCTCCTCCTCCTCCTCCTCCCCTTCCTCGTCCACCTCCTCCTCCTCCTCCTCCTCCTCCTCTTCCTCCTCCTCCTCCTCCTCCTCC